TTAATGAACAATGTGTCATGGAAGAATTACATGGAGGGATGCTTTGTGTAAATGTGTGTAAATTATTGGCTAACTGATGTCAGAAGACGTTGACAAATTAAGGGATGCAACAGGGATGACAACATTTTTACACTGAAACTGAGGTGAGATTCTTTAACTCCAATGGCAGCCAAATTTTAAGAAAATGGTGACCGAATATAATCCAATTAATTTTGAATGTTAATAATTTTAGTTTTTACCTCTTTTTCAATAAATTATTTCATTCGACGACAATAGAATTTGTTAATTTATCTATAATCATATAACATTTAAATTTGAATGCCTCACACCCAAATAATTTATTAAATAATCTCAAATGGCTTAATAAAAATCACAGTTCAAAGATTAAAACCGCAATGAAATGTGACGAATAATTTGCAAAGAAAATAAAGTGATAAGAATTAAGTCGTATTTGAGTGTGACGTAGTTACCTCATTGTGCCCACATTAAAAACACTCGTTTTGCACATAAATCTTAAAGACGACGCACACAGATGCACAAAAAGAAGTAATCCACAAAGAGTGAATATTTAAAAAAATATATTTTTAATCGATCTTTTGTGTTTTATTTATATTTCTTTATTATTGATTACAAATGGTAAACAAAAGTCACGTCCAAAGTACATTTAAATTACAAAAAAAAAAAAAAAATAAAGCTAATTTTGAAGATGATAAACAGTAAATGTTAATAGAACTTCAGAGTTGAGGCATTGCATTTTTTGGAAAAATATTAAAATGGTTTGTATTGTTTGGAATCAAGTTCTTCGAATTTATAGCAAAAAAAATATAAATAGGCCGGACGAAATGAAATTTGTTACCATCTATCATGAGAAATATTTAAATCAAATCGGTAGCAAATTTAGCTTTTAATTTTGAAAAGTTTTCAATCAACAAAGATATGTAAACACCGGGACTAATATCGATTATTTATGGAAGATGGCTTCATTTGTGAACACAAAATTCTAAATTACAGAGCATTAGTTTTGCAATGTCACTGGCCTTTAAAGTACAAAAAAGGATTACAAAACCTAGATCCACATACGTATTCCATACGTATTCTTCCATTGAGATTAAGATTGTAAAATATGAAAAAACTCTCAGGCTTAGAAATATTACTAGGACATTGAAAACAAATAAATCCGACTTTGAAGGTACTTCAAACTGAATGACAAAATAATTGTGCGGTGAAGGATATATAAAAACTGTCAAAATATATTAATTTGGTATGCGGACAGGTTATTACCCTCAGTTATCGTGTCACTCATTTACTAAAAAGAGTTGATCTCTGTAGAATTCAAGCAGTTACAGTATTTACCTGGAATTTGACATAAATTAAAGCAAGTTAAGAAGTATCTGTCGGTTTTGCCGACAGATGTATACCCTCAGCCAATGTACGATTATTTAAAAATATTTTCACTTCTGTTATGATTATTCAAATGTTTAACCCCTTATGGAGTAGGTTCCGAAGGAATGGGTCAATATTGTCCATTTCGTATCGGACCTAAATAAGTATGATATAAATATTGCGACGTGTCAGGTTTGGACTATATTGGTAAATTCCTTCCCTTTACATGACATATATGATAATATTTAGAAAATGTTAACATGTGCGTGAGGTACCCAGATATAGTCGACCGAAGTATTCCATATTCATGCTTCATCTAATAATATTAACATATTGGTATGGGCAATATTACAAGAAACTCGAACATTTGGTACCAGAAGGTGTTCGCAGATATACATCATCTTCACAACAGATTTTGTGTTAGCAAAAATGTTTGTATGTGTGAAATTTGAGGAGTGTTGAATGCTTATTTTGCTATTTTTGAGCGTTATCTTTTTCAAAATCTTGAACCCTATGTGGGGCAGGTATCAAAAGAAATGGTCCGATCACTGCAATCTTTATAACAAATCTTGTGTTGATGGAAATATTGAGATGTACCAAGTCTTGAATGGAATCGGATGTTAATTTCGCTTTTTATGAGCTTCATGGATATTCAACATTTTTAGCCTTTGTGAGGAAGGTACCAGAAGAAGTAGACCGATATATCCCATCTTCACAACATACTTCGGATTTTATAAACGTTTTGGTTATTCAAAACTTTGACCCTTTGTGGGGGGTACCAGAAGTAATGGTCCGATCTCTGCGGTTTTTTAACAAATCCTGTGTAGTTAGAAGTATTCAGATGTGCCAAGTCTAAATGCAATCGGATGTTAATTTCGCGTTTATGAGCTTAATAGATGTTCAAAATTTCGACCTTTTGTGGAGGAGGTACCAGAAGGAGTGGACCGATATATTCCATCTTGGGTTTATAAAAATATTGGGATATGTAAAATTTTGAGACGATCGGACTTTACATCACATTTTATAGGAGTTGTAATTATTCAAAATTAAGACCCTTTGTGGGGAGGTACTTGATGGAATGGACTAATCTTGTCCATTTTCGCACCTGACCTAGCACTGACGCAAATATTAGAATTTGCAAACTTGGAGGAAAATTGGACTATCGTTTCTCTTTCTGTGCAGAAAATAATTTTTTTTGGAAAATTTCAACCTTTTGTGGGGGAGGTACCAGAAGGAGTGGACCGATATTAACCATCTCCGAACTCGATCTAAGTTTGACAAAAATATTACGATGTACCAAGTTTGGTTATTTCGTTATTTCGACTAGGCACGTTTTGGCCGTATCAAATGATATACAGCATATTAATTTTATGAAGCACTTAAATACTTCAAAGCATGCTTGATCCTTCACCGAAATTTAGCACTGATATCTAGTGATCTCTTTACAAATTATTGTCGGTGTAGTAATACTTCTTTTATGTAATAATCGAAAATTTATATTATAATAAAATCTAAGTATTTATGTTTCAACATATTTCCTCCTTCCTCCTTTTACTTTTTGTGGGGCAGAAAAAGTCGGCCGATATATTCCATTATAACCAGGGCTGCAAACCACTTGTAGATTTTGGTTGGTTCGCGCTACCTTGGAATAATGTAAATAGATACACATACAGTTCAGTTGCAATTTTAACATAGCTACAGTAAAACAAGTACGCAAGGCTATAGTAGTGCGGGGCCGACCATCACTACAAATGTTAGAAGCCACCCTATGTCCAAATCCATTTTAAAAGATTTCGCTTTTGAAATTATGGCATAGCATAGCATTTGCCCAATATTTACGCACTCCGTCGTGCTGTTAGTTCTTGTGGTCCATTTTGCAGCAAATTTTAATCCAATGGTCATCCAAAGTGCTAGACTTCTTCCCTGTCCTTAACTCTCTTCTCATGCAAAATTTCGTGTCGATTGGTTTCAATTATGTGATCAGGAAATTTTTTCTGTTTTTGGTTCAAAAGCAAGAGGCCCCTCTCCAAATTAAGACTCATCTATATGATTTGCTTGACTACGATATTTGGCTATATTTGTCTACGAAATCAGCATTAAAAAGCCAGAAGTTCGCCTTTGGAATATTTCGGATATCGCCTGTAAGTAATGCTGGTATTTTTCGTGTCTTTTGCTTTCTGTTTGTGACCTTTATAATGGCTGCAAAATCAAGAACATTTTTAGTTGTTGGTCCATTTAAACCTCTAAATATATTGCGTTCGTCTTTGAAAACAATAAGCCTAGCCCTTCTGAGCCTAACCCTACCTTTGTGAAAATTTTCGTGGGGATCGGACGTTAATTGCAATCTGTACATAATAACCCCAACCTGTGTTGTAAGGTGAAAAAATATTACAAAATATACTCTTCAATATTATAAGTCAAATTGAAAAATGCAATAAAAAATATGAAAAAAAAATAAAAAAAAATGTCACATAATACTACAAAATCTATATAAACATCATTATTGGCATCTTTTTATGCGATTTGTAGATTTTATTATTTTATGCCAAGAGGGCATTCTGAATTGACAACATTTGTATATATTTCGCTATACGTATCCGATATATTTACTATCGGCATCTACGTAACGGTCAGGATTGACCTGTTCGTCTATTTATGATTTCGCCGGGAATAAAAATATTCGCAGATTAATGGAAAATTTTACTTTTATTCAATACAAATATTATGATCTATTTCACCCTCTAAACATTAGTCGATGACCATAAAAATTGGAAGGCTTCTGCCCAGCCCTAAGATCTAGCGCCATGCTAACTGCCGCGTTGATTGGTCTATAATTGCGACCTGTAGAGGAAAATCAGGATTTTTTCAGTTTTTGGTCCATTTTAACCTCTACATATTATGCGATCATCTCCAAAAGCAATAGGCTTCTATTCTGGCCCTAGCCCCACCCCCATTTTAAATTTCGTGACAGACGGACGGGCGGACATACATAGCTAGATCGACTTAGCTCGGCGAGATAGGAAGATCCATATATACTTTCCTAAGTGGGCAACCAATATTTCGAGGTGTTACATAATTTTTTGCCAATTAAACTTTTAAACACATAGTGTTGTGGGGTATAAAAATGTAAATGTAAAATGTATTTATTGACCTTGCAGCAGTTTTTTTATCTCGTCCTGTATATATTGTTCATCCGATCTGAGATCCGAGATTTTCCCAAATTTGATGAGCTTTTTGCACATTTTCATTTGGTGAAACTCGGTCCCCATATATATATTATATTTATTTCTTAATATGATCCTTCTCGAAGTCATATCATTTGGTACTAAAGATACTAATGCCTCCGTTAAATTCAATGGGAATCGATTTAGTTAGTTATATTAGTTCCCTCTGATCCCAAATTATAACTGCTCTAGAGCAGATTGCCAAAGCGCATTTAGAAAAGGTTGGTTTGATCTATTTCACATAAATTGCCTGTTAAAAAGTTTATTTGTTACGGTAACTCAACTCAATATGCATAGTGGTGTAGGGTATCAGTTAGTCTGCTCCGCCAGGCTTTTGACCTTTCTTTACTGGTTTTACCTAGTACTCCACGCCCAAACCAAAATAAAACACTGTCATTAATAATGTTATATTTACTTAATAAACTTTAGTTTGATACACTTCTTTGTGAACCTATTCATATTTTACAATTCTGGGCAGTTCGAACTTACATTACTAATTAATACTAACTACAAACAAACATACATACATATAACAAATATACCAAGTATAAGATAAAAATGTTCAAACCCACTTTATATAAACAAAAATTAATATTAATTAATTAATTATTTGTTAAGTTTGTTTACATTTAAGCTAAGAGAAAATATGATACAACAGAGCATGTACTTCATAATAATATTCAAATATAAATAATAGAATAATGAAAACGCCAAAAAATTAATGCTCTTTATTAGAGTATGCCAAGTGAAAAGTTTTGTTTTTGGTAACCATTCTCTTTGAGACTTTCACATTTAAAGATCGTATTCTTCTCAGTCTCACAAGTTGTTAGTCTTATAGGAAAGGAGTTGGAAAATGTCATGTCAACTATTATTAATGTCTTAGGGTTGTCAAGGAGATAAAGGTGTCATGGAAAGCTAAATTAATGTTTTCGATCCCACAGATTTTCATACTCTAATATGGACCTATGCAAAAACATTTATAAAAATAATAAATACTTGGGAAAATTGATACAAGAATGAAAATGGCATATGAATTAAAGGCGAAAGTTTAACGTTTTGTGTTATTAATTTTAATTAATTATTTTGTTTATTCATCAAATTAATCATTGGAAATACAAAATTTATTTATTTTTTTTTTTAAGTTTATTCATCAAAATAATCATTGGAAATACAAAATTTAGATGTCCAATTTTTTTATTTCGATTTTTTTTTTTTTGGAAAAAAACTTTGGGAAAGTAAATTAACTCGCCACTTCATCTTTTGTCTCAATTTTCACAAATTTAAAAAGAAATTTTGATCAAAAGTAGAATAATATTAAAATAAAAATACATACAGTCATCATATACATATTTACATAACTAGGTTACTTCCATCACAGATGTATCTGTATAATACAGATAAATATACACAAAAAATATAGTTTCACTTGCAACAATGCAACGTTGCATGTTGTTGTTTTAACAGCCTTCTTTCCAAGGCTACAATTTAAGTTTCTTTCAACGAATTACAAACTATTTGCTTTTGTTGTTTTCCATACCAAAATACAAAATAGTAATTATTATACAATCATACGTATGTATTTTTAAACACACACTTCTCTTTAGTTTTGAGCCTAATTCTTATCGAGCAAAAGTAAGTAACATCAGTAAGAATCAGATTTTAAAAACTTCCAACCTTTTCCATTAAATACCAAGGTAAGAATACGCTTACGGCCACAGCCGCTACACATGTAGCGCACATAACAACTGTCGACGAGATATTGCTCAAAGATATTCCACTCTCATGATGATCCATATCTTCGTGTGGATGTTTTTCGAATTCCAGAACTTCCACATCAAAACGAAAGCGAATACGAGCACTGGGCGATTCTTTTCGCCATACCAAATGCCCAGATGATTCACGGCGTTCTAAGCTCCATTTGGGATCGTGTATACCTCCAGCCATATCCATTGTTGTTGTCGTCGTCGTCGTCGTTTTGGTTTGTGGGGTGTAAAAAATTTATCTGCAATGAGAAAACAAGTGCAAAGTCCAATTAGAAAGAAGAAGCTTAGGCAAAATCTAAAATAAAAGCTAAACAAAATAAAAACATATGATTGCTGCTTTTGCGGTGCTATACAACTCAATGCAGAACGATATAGTTACTTATAAATAAAATTAGCTATTTTTTTTAATAAGCAATGATACGTTGAAATATAATTGGATATATGTTCTCACAGTATTTCAGGGCCTAAATTTGTCCCATATTAAAATGTGAAGGTTAACATTAAAATTTAACTAGTAACTAAATTTTTAACCTTTTTAACCTTAGTAGATTTAGTATGGAGGGCATATTATGTTTGTCATTCCGTTTGTAACACCTCGAAATATATATTTTAGACTCTACAAAGGATATATAATCTTTATCAGCATAAAATTCTATGTCAATTTAACTATGTCCGTCCGCCTGTCTGGGCAGACAATCTGTGGAAATCAATCTAGCTTCCGAACGAATTAAGGTAGGTTTTACTCAGAATTGTGATTGGTCTGCAGAACTTTTTTGAAAATGAGCTATACAGGGTGAAATAAAAAACTACAACAAAGACAAACGCCATAATTTTTACATTATTTCCTTAAATTTTATTGAATGAAAGCAAAAAATGTCGGAAATAGCATCAAATTTTAGAATAAGTTTAGATTTGTTCGAATTGGTCACCTTTGGCACGAATTATGGCCTTCAAACGGACAATGGAACCGTCACACGCTGCCCTGTATTTCGCCCCTTTCCCGGCGAAGCGCTTACTTGAGGAGATCGAAACTTTGGTTATTTTAATGCCAAACTTGCTTCCAAAATACTCCAGGCATAATAGTCCAACGGATTGGTATTATAAGATTTTAGTGGTAATTGTGCGCTGGAAATAAAGCGAGGAACCTCATTTTATAACCATTCTTGGGTGGGGCGTGCTGAGTGCGATGGTGCTGAGTCCTGTTGGAATGTCCAAGGTCTGCGGCTAAAATTTTTGCGTGCCAAGGCTTTAATACACCCTCCAGAATATTTTCGCAATAATATTCGGCATTTATTCTGATGCCACTGTCGATAATAACGAGCGGAGAGCGACCATTAGCTGTTATGGCGGCCCACACCATCACCATGACCGGCGCTTGAGTTCTGGTGGACAACCGAAGGTGCACATTTACAGCTGACCTCTTTGGCAAGAAAACACGATCATTTTGTTCGTTTACAAACTACTGGACAACCATTGTTTTCTCATCGAAGAAAACCAAATTCGGCAGTTCACCACTTTCGGCCAAGCTAAGCAACTCTTTAGCTCTTTTGAGTCTATTTTCTTTCTGTTCTTGCACTTTTTGGAATTTCAGTGGGTTTACCCCGAGCTTATTTTTCAGTATTTGCCGAATGAAATGTTGCGATATGTTCAGCTCACGAGCCATTTTTCGGCCACTGCGAAGCGGATTTCGATCAAGTCGCTTCTTTACTTTTCGAACTATTCTGCTGATGTTGCTGTATTCTTCCGTCCACTTCCTTGACGTCGGGCTACGTCGGGCTGACCAGTATCACGGTAACGAGCGATGGTATAAACACAAAAGATTTATTCACATTTAAATGCTGAAGTGCTCTAACGATAGCCACTTGTGGTTTTCCAGCCAAATATAAAGAAATCACGCTTGAATTCCATTACGAATACCTTTTTTTCTGGGAAATTCTCACCAAAATGCTTTCGTACACTTATAAACAATATAATGAGCTGTCATTGAATAATTTTGACAGCTTTTGGGCGAGTGGCTTAGAAATGACTGAAGTTGGTTGCAGTTTGTTCATCACACCCTGTTTATTGCTACTTAGAATCATCCTAATAACAAGAAAAATGCCGTTCAACTTTATGAAATTGCAAAGCGTACAATATTTGCAATGACAATTAATAAATCTCAAGGACAAACTCTTCGTGCATGCGGACTAAATTTAGCATGTTCCTGCTTTTCTCATGGTCAGCTGTACCTGGTATGTTCACGTGAGGGTACCTGTATTTTTTTTTGTCGTGAAGAGTTATATTTCAGAATTTTCGTATAAAAATACTACAAAAGGTAACACGATCGTATAGACCTAGAACATTGTATTGAATATAGGTTAAGCTTTTTCAGAAAATCTGCTTAATGGTACGCAAAATTCCCAAATGTACTCAATATCGGTATCAGCAGAGCGGGTAATTTAACACGCCACAGAAAATATTAAGTGTAGACCCTCTTTTTGTCATAATAACCATTTTACAGTACCTCCCGATTTTCGGTATTTTGAAAATGTCAGCCCTAAATTACAAGCAATTCAGCTGTAATTTTAAATATTCAATTTAGGTAAAGACCACATATATAAGGAATGTTCTAATATTAATGATTTATTAATTTGCAAAAAAAAATATATTCCATCCTCATGGCGGAGTCACGTTTCTATTTTAATAGCAAAACGAAATGCGTATTTATTTTTTAACCATTTATTCTAATATTCCGAATCGATTATATGCCAAGCAAGCCAGTGACAAAATTTTGCGTTCATGCGGATATACACAAGGTTAACGTCATTCCAATTATGGTATTTACGAATTATTACAGCCGGAATAGAGTAAATCGATTTGCTTTGTAATTATTAAAATTAACCACGTTTCATTGTGTCAAAACAACAAAAATATATACATATGGCGTGACAAGAATTGTGTACGGGTTTTGCTTATTTCCTTTCACGTTTTCTTATTATTTAAGAAAAAATTTTAGCAAAATAAATTCGTAAGCAACCTTTAAACCTTTTGGTTCTTTTGCATTCAATTATGCCACTATTACGATTTAAATTTAAAACACTGCACAACGCAACACACTTACGTCACCGATACACATATTCTAAAACGTAATATTGGTCGACAATATCTATGAAAATAACAAAAATCAAAAAAACAACAACAATACCACTAAAAAATACAATTTAAGCCGATTAAGAACATTTGGTATTACCAACAACCACACACAAAATGGCATGAACTTGAATATTGGCAAAATTTTTGAACGTCAAAAACCAAAGCAGAACCACCACAAAGGCTGTTGCCTTCAATTCGAACAAATTCATTGTTTATAAATTCAAGTGGTGCATTCGTTTTGGGCTGCTGTTTTGTTTTTGGCTATAATTACTTTCAATAACAGCAGTGACAGTGAAAAAAACTTCACAAGTTGAAGAGGTATCAAATCAAGGCAGGTATTAAATAAACGCCGGTCGGCTTTTTAGATTTTGGTATAATAGGGTGTTTTTTTTTTTTTGTAATTTTATATTATCTTGTTAGCAAGACCGTTTAAAACAGCTCAGCAAGTTTCATGTTCTGTTTCACTGTCAAACATCTTCAGTTTGGTCTATCTAACCAGAAATAATCTCACAAAGGGATCATCTTACAAAGGAATAACGCCTACAAATCATCAGCGCCATACTTCTTCAGCGCCAATTATTCGTTCCACCAATTCATTATACCCTCCACTTTGAAAAGGAGGGTATATTAACCCTTTGAAACATCCCTAAATATTCGTCGTGGACCCCATAAAGTACATACAGGGTTGATTAAAAAACTGCAACCCATTTCAGACTGCTGTCATTTCTAAGCCACTCGTCCGACAGCTGTTAAAATTATTCCAGTGGCAGTTCATTATATTGTTTACAAGCGTACAAAAGCATTTTGGTGAGAATTTTCCAGAAAAAAAGTTCTTCGTGATGAAATTCAAGTGTGATAGTGTGATTTATTTATATTTGGCTGGAACACCACAAGTGACTATTGTTAGAGCACTCCAGCATTTAAATGTGAATAAATCTTTGAAGTTTCGTATCATCGCTAGTTACCGTAATACTGGTAGCGTAGCCCGACGTCAAGGAAGTGGACGAAAAAAAACAGCAACATCTGCAAACATGGTTCGAAAAGTAAAAAGCGATTTGAAAATGGCTCGTGAGGTGAACATATCGCAATATTCCATTCGGCAAATATTAAAAAATGAGCTCGGAGTAAAGTCATTCAGATTCTAAAAAGTACATGAACTGACACCGCAACAGAAAGAAAATAGGCTCAAAAGAGCTAAAGAATTGCTTCGCTTGGCCGAAAGTGGTGAACTGCCGAATTTGGTTTTTTCCGATGAGAAAACATTCGTTGTCCAGCGGTTTGTAAACAAACAAAATGATCGTGTTTACTTGCCAAAGAGATCGGCTGCAAAATGTGCACCTTCGGTTGGCCACCAGAACTCAAGCTCCGGCCATGGTGATGGTGTGGGCACCATAACAGCCGATGGTCGTTTTCCCCTCGTATTAATCGACCGTGGCTTCAGAATATATGCCGAATATTATCGCAAAAATATTATGGAGGGTGTATTAAAGCCTTGGACACGCAAACATTTTGGCCGCAGACCTTGGACATTCCGACAGGACTCAGCAACATCGCATTCAGCGATGGGGTTCTTCACTTCATTTCCAGCGCACAATGGCCACCAAAATCTCCGGATACCAATCCGCTTGCCGGGAATGGGCCAAAATAACGCAGAGCAACATTCGGGCAGTGTTTGGCGGTTTCATTGTCGTTTGAAGGCCATAATTAGTGCCAAAGGTGACCAATTCGAACAAATCTAAACTTATTCTATAATTTGATGCTATTTTCGACATGTTTTGCTTTCATTCAATAAAATTTAAAAAAAAAAAATAAAAATTATGGCGTTTGACTTTGTTGCAGTTTTTTATCTCAACCTGTAGATTGCATGCTCTGTTAGGGATGTTTAAAAGACGCGAATTCATGGAACTTTATTTCATGTTCGGGACAGGCCTATTGACCACCTAGATCGTGCGAATTAACGCTTTAGATTATTTTTGTGGTCCATAGATTAAAGCTAATGTCCATACGGAGAGTCCGCTTTAATTGACGCATTGGAAGACGACATTGAAGTATTTATTCGTGAGATACCTGCCCGAAAGATTGTGAAAAACATTTAGACCATACTACC